CCTTGCGAACCTCCATTGTGGCCCCGGTCGAGCGTACCATACTCGACTGAAATCAGAACCCAGAGCAGAGAGCTGGCACGACCGCGACGAACCTGCCAACGAGAAGTTGTTGCCGACGGACGTCCGTTCGTTACATCTCACTGCACATGGAGAATATCACAGGGGGGCCAGAGGCAGGAGCTCGACTCGCCGTTATGAGCCCGGCCCCTCCCTCCCCTCAGCAGAGCAGGCGTGAAACCGTGCCGGATTTCACGCAACCCATACCCCGGAAAAAATTGGAACCCTGGCGACCCGGTTTGCCGCGGAAAAAGATAGCGATACACAACAAGAACATAAAAAGAAGAATCCCAAATCTCTTCGCGCGTAGTTCCACATCGCAAGAAAGGACCCGGGACCTGAGAGAGAGAGATTTTAGAAAACCAACAAGAAATCACGACTCTCACAGTGATTTGGGCTCGGCAGCTTGTCAGCCCTCAGCCGAAGCTGGGGCCGGTCCCGTAGCCGAGAGAGCCCGCGCCGATGAGTTCGACGCGGTCGGGGGGCCTTGCGGAGAGGCCAGCGAGGTGGCGATCGCTGTACTTCATGGTGCCCTCGGTGGGGCGGCTGACAAGCCAGAGGTCGATACTCTGGACGACCCATAGGATACCACGAATGCCTGAAGGAGAGGGAGGCGAGGCCAGAGGCAGGCTCAGCTGCTCTCCGGGTGATCTCGCTTTGGTGGCCGAAGGACCTGATGGTCCTGTCACATTCGCGTTCCGAGTCGTGGGGGTAGTAAGAAGAATTCGGGAAGAAGTCGAGTCAGCACATCCTTGTAGTACAGCGGACCACCAGGCTCGCCGGCAGCATCCGCAGGGAGGCAGCATATGAGGCACCAGTCCTCTGGGGGGGCGCGGGGGGCCCCGGAGGCACCGTGCGCCGCGCAGCAGTGCGGAAACGGGGCTGCCTCCGGCTCTACTAGTCTCTACTAGTACCGACTTCCCGATTAAGCTAAGTTAATCAGAGGGCAGATTTGGAGAGATCTCGAGGAGTACACACAGGTAGACCCTCCAACCACCAGAAAACTCCAACCTGATCGGTCGTACTGACCGCCGACAGATCACTCCAGACAGCAAACAGGCCGACGTCTGCACGCGGCCGGCCGGGCGAGAGGCTTGACACGATCCGACCCTGCGACCGTGACGCTGCTGCTCTAGCTATCAGACATGCACTGCTGACTGCTGCCACAATGTGCGACCGGTGCTGGCCCACTTGGCGGCCTTCCCCCGGTCAGTGGTGAGGCGCAGTTCAGAGCTGTCGATGGCGCGATGCCGCACTGGTCCCACATTGGTGACACGATACCACCAAGTTTGCCGGTCCAAGAGAGAGGCACCGGCGCTGTCCTGAGAAGGTGCGTGGTCCCTCTTGACTGCCCATGCGCGCGAGGCTGTGTAGGCATAGCCTCGAGAGTGCCAGCAGCCAATCCGAGGCGACGCGCATTGCGCCAGAAGCGTGCACGCAGCTGGAAGGACACCTTCCTACTGGCCTACGATCAGGTCGTCACTGAATGCTGGATACTAAGGCCGCGAGCTATGCGGGTGATCAATTGTGCAGCATGGCACGGTCAGCAGCGCCGACAGGCTGTCGCAAGGCGTGCGTGATAGCGTGGCCGCAAGTACGCCGAATTCCCATGAAAACAAGTGAAAAATCGCGCAAAAAAGAAAAATATCCCGACGAGAAAAAAATCCCAAGTACTCCATTAGAGAGTTGTAGGTGAGGGAAGGTAAAAGAAAGAAAGAAAACAGAGACCCCAAGGGAGGGATGGGAGGACGGCACGCCGCCACCACACAGGGATTTTAAGGAGAGGACTAGCCGTCGCCCACCCTTGGGCGTCTACCACTTCCTATCTCTCTCCGCAGTTTCTCACCAATTCTCGCAGCGACCTTCATGCCACCTCGCGTTCTTCCCACTCTCGTCGTTCTCTCTCCTGCTGTCTCTTCCCCTTACTCATCGCTCTCCTCGGAAGCAGCGAGAGCAAGGCAGACGGCAGCGTTCTTCCCCTTACTTACTGCTTCTCTTATGGGAAACGGTGAGGGAAGGTGGAGGCTCGCCGGAGAATTCTTCTTTCGGCATTCTGGCCTAGAGCGCGCTGGGACAACTGAACGCTGCTCGCCAAAGGCTCGCCCCAGCCTCTCGGGTTGACTCGGCCAGACTAGAACCCCGAGAGCGTGGGAGTACCTCGCCAGTGTGTGTATGTGTGTGTATGCCGTCTCCTCTGCTCCTCCTCCTCGGGCTGTCCCTCACCGACGCGCTGTTGCTGGCGCAGCGGAGCGGCGCTGAGGTCATCATTCACGGCCGCAGGGTGTCCGCTTCGGACGCCGTCTTGGCAAACGCCGGGCAGTGCATCGAGCCCATCGACCCAGTCGCTGGTGGCGCCGCCTTCTTCGCCGCAGCCGCGCTAGCTGCGGTCGGCTTCAACACGCAGCGCAACCGCGACGACTCGCTGCGAGAGGGCGGCAACGTGCCTCGGCGCCGAGCGCTGACGTGGCTCGGCTTGCAGACAGGCGCTGCCTTCTGCGTGGGCCCACAACTCACGAACCCTTGCAGTAACGTCAACTCGCTCGAGTAACGTTGGCCGAAAAGGAATTTCAACGCCAAGCGCTTCAAGCACGAATCTCGGACCTCACGCCTATTGCGTTGTGAGCGCTCCAGCGAGAGCAGCGTGCGTCCCCAGCCAAGGCCAGACATTCGCGCTGAAGCGCGCCGGCTATTCTTGTAGAGCTCTATGTGTGGACCGAGATCCGAGTGTGCGTGTCAGAGACGAGAGAGAGGAGCGAGTGCGCTCTCTCCACAGAGTCCAGACCGCCTCCGCTGCTCCGCTCGCGGCAGCCGTAGGCCCCCCGGTAGCGCGCGCACAGGCCACAGCCGTAGCCGCAGTCACCTTACCTCTCCACGCCCGCACAGGACTCTTGCCCGCGTGGGGTTGGGTGTACGGCTTTAGAGGGTTATGACTTATGTTGGGGATAGTGCGTTTTTCCATTCGTGGACAAAGCAGATACCAGACGTCGGTTTCCCATAGGGTTTCTGCTGCGGTTTCCCATGGCGGTTTCCCATAGCCGAAAACCCAGGGGTCGGTCGGTTTCTGCGGCGCGCTCTGTTTTTTTCTGGGAACGTGGGATCTGTTTTCTGGGACACCCGCCTCGATTTCCCGTGGGATCTGCCTGTGGGTCTGGTTTCTGCGGTGTGAAGACATCTCCCGCTTCGTCCTAATGAGCTCATTCCGGCCAATGAACAGGTGTACCCCCTCCGATTTTTTTTCAAATGGGAACCGCGAAAACGGAACGGGATCAGAACGATACAGCGATAGAGAAGGCGCCGTGCGACAGACAGCTTCCCAGAAGCCGCGTCGTCCCTCGCCGTCACCAACCACAGACAGACAGAAGCCGTCACCTACATCTGACTCCCACCCACTCCGGCGCCCGCGCCCCACCCCGCCCCACCATCCCCACCCCGCCCCGCCCCGCCCCGCCCCGCCCCGAGCCAACCCTCCGCCCCGCCCCGACCCGACCCACCCATCGAAAATAGGGGGCCCCGACAGCGCCCGAAAACCACCAGTGAGGGATTTCGCTGGGGGGGTGGGGGGGGGGGGGACTCTGAAAAGCTCGCATGTACCTCCTGCGAGTGCTGTGGTCGCCGCAGACTGGCTCCGACTTGACGGCAGCATGGACACGTGATGCCTTCATGTCGCCGTCGAGTCAAAATCGACATGCGAGTCGATCTTTGGCCCGCCAGAGGTACATGCGGCGTTTTGGGCGACAACAGCGCTGCGACCGCGAAGTGGCGGTGGACATGCTCCCATGTTGCCGACGCGGCGCCGGAGTGGCCGGCGCTGCTCGCCGCGACCACGACGGCTACTCCGATGCTCCGGGCCGACCCGTCCTACCCGACGGTGGCGCTCTTCCACGTCTCGCGCTCACGCTGAGAAAAATTCTGAAACGGCGCGTGCAGCAGAGTCGCCGACGAGTCGGTCCGAAAGAAAATCAGATTTTTTTCAGCAATTGTAAACAAGTGAGGGGTGTAGAGGGACACGAGGGCTTTGGCGCTGATGCTGCAGACCCTAGCAGTCAAACTTATCTCTGTGGAGGTGCCGCTCCAGGGTGCCTCTGCAGGCGCGAAGCGCGAGGTGGACGTCCATGTAGCATCGAATGAGGCTCAGCGACTCCCAGACTGCTCGCTCAGAGGCGTGCACCTTCCGCGCCAGCTCCTCTTTGCTGGGCTGATTGTCGAGCATTGAGAGGTAGTCGCGTCGTAGCTCGAGGTCAGGCAAGATGGTGCAGACGTGGCCGGGGTTGTTCTCGAGGGGCGCATTCTGCAGCCAGAGGTTGCTGCGAGGGGAGCGAGCAGGACAGAGCGGGTGGTTGACCGGAGGCGCACCACATTCCTACTACAGTCCGTGCGCCACCTCCAGTCGACGCCGGCCAGTTGGGCGGGGAGCTTCAGGCGCACGATGAGCCCCAACTTCATCCGCAACAGCTCCTTGAAGAGGCTCTCGAGGACGGCGAGCGTGAAGCCGCCCCGCCAGCCGCCATGCTTTGCTCGCCCCGCAGTCGGGCGGCCAGGACTCCCAGTCAGCCTCGCCCAGAAAGGCACGACGTGCGGGTTCACCATAGAGACGATGGCGAAGGAGCAGCCAAAATGCGCTGCGAGGTATTGAAGAGGCATGTCGGCCTCAAAACTGCCATCGCGCATGCCGTTGGCCGAGGAGGCCTCGTCGTCGCCGCCAAATGTGCGCAGGGAACCGTCGGGCGCCTTCTCAAGGAGCGCGGTCTTGTCCATGAGTCCTGGCACGGCCGACGAGGCGCAGATGGCGGAGGCGATGTCCACATTGGGCGCATCGCGATAGTTGAGCATGAGAGGCGGGCCGTGCCCGCCCCCTGAGTGCCCAACGCGGAATGGCGTGGCGGAGATGACCAGAGTGCGGCCGGAGCGCTCATAGGCCTCAAGAAAGGTGAGTCCCTTGGTGAAGAACTTGAGCTGCTCCCGAAACGGCTCCGCGTCGTATATGAATCCCTGCTTAGCGCGGCGCCAGATCTTCCACCAAGTGGACCCTAGGCGGGGGAGAGGGGGGGCGTGGTGAGAATGGAGGCAGGGAAGGAGGATCGTGGTGCCTGGTCCCAAGGCGGCCTTGGAAGGGTCCATTCTCCGGCCCCATCACCCGCCACAGAGTCTCAAACCCCTCGTCTGTCTGAAAGAAGTCGCGCAGCTCGTCGTCGGTCCAACAGCACGCGAGCGAGCCGACGATCGAGCCCGCGGACGCGCCAAAGATTACCGACGGGAGGCAGCTGTGTAGGAAGAGCCCCTTCAGGATGCCGAAGTGGTACGTTCCGAGAGCGGCACCACCGCTTAGCATCAGCGCTGGGTTGCCATGCGATGCTTGCTCGCGCTCTACGGCGACGAGCGTGGCCTCCGCCTCTGCCCTCGACGCGGTTTGACCGGTGCTCTGCAGCCAACGAATCGAAGTGCAGACCTCGCTGACAAAATTCTGTACGGGTAGCTTTGGTCCGGTCCGCGCAAATAGGTAGTTCTGCTCCCGATTCACGCCGTACGCGTTTGTGACAAGGCAGCCCTGCAGAGCGGCAATGACTGCTGGAACGTCATTTCTTGCGCGAGCCTGTGCGAGGCGCGCAGTCATCCTCGTGACAGCGTTCGCGTCGAAGAGCCGAGAGTGCTGCTCGCGCCGCCAAGCCATGCGGCCCTCCTTCTCGTCCGCTGCCTCGGCCAATGCGAACCACGATTGGTAGTCTTTTGCATTGTCGAGTCGTTCGAGGAGCGCAGAGATGTCGCCCGGCCGCAGGGCGGACTGAATGAGGTCGACCCCGCGAATGAGAAGCCGCACAAGCGCATAGCATACCAGGTCCACCGCCATCCACAAGATGAGGAGCACGAGCACAGGCCACTTGAGGACCCGCGAGGAGCCCATTACGACGCACTCGAGGATGATGGACCATAAGATGGTCTGCAGCAGCAGGGACTGGACGTCGGACATGCTGGAAGTTCCTCACGAGGGCGCGCACGGTGTCCTGCCTAACGTTGTGAGAGCTGCGTTGGTTCTGCGCGAGGGCACTCTGGGACGCAAGCACGGCACGTGCAGCACACGCGAGGACGGTCGAGCACAATCAACCAGGAACGGAAAAAAGCCTATACGATTCAAATGGAGAAGGAATGCCTTCTCCCATCCCTCCTTTGGGTTGTATGTGTTTTATTTCTTTAGGGACAAGGCGCAGAACACGGCTTCCACAAGAGCCGCCGTCCGAATTCCCCTGCTCCTCCATGCTCCATCACCCGCCCCGCCCCGACCCGTCTTATCTCTTGTCGCAGTCTCTCGCCAACCCGGATTTACCGACAGACTCACTTTTCTCTTTTGGGCCTACAGAGCACAGTGTGAATACGTTTCCACCGTATTCCAAAAATTTGCCGAAAACCGACGCACATGCGCATGTGCATGTGACATGTATACCACGTTCCGGATAAAATGTTCTACTCTCCGCGAATTCACAGCCTTGAGAGAGATTTTTAGCAATCAATACCAAAGAACTGTGTTTTGTTGTCAGCCTTGTGCACTTGTGATGCCTTTCCCTGAGAATGCACACAACGCCTCGTGTGTAATGCCCTGCGTTCCGCGACTACCCCTGTCTCCTCTCTCTCTCCCCTGTACGTTAGGTACAGTACAAGAATTTGCCAAAAAGAATTTAGACAAAAAGAAATCTCAATCGCCTCAATGGCGACGGAGGGCTTGCCGCCTGCAGCTCTCGTGACGGCGCTCAGCTCCGCTAAGGTGCGTTTGCAGCTCTCTGCGGCCCGGCTGGACGCCGGCGCGGCGGACGAGGACGAGATCAGGGTCACGCAGCAGGAGATGCCTCACCTGACTGGCGGCGTGGTCTGGGAGGCGGCGAGGCTGCTCGAGGCCGAGCTGCGAGGCATGGACATCGACTGGCCGCGGGCGCGCGTGCTCGAGCTCGGCTCTGGGACCGGCTGGCTGGCCCTGCAGCTCGCACGGCGCGGCGCCGCCGTCACCGCGACCGACCGGCGCGGCATGCTCGATCTGCTCCGTCGGAATGTGCTGCGCAACCAGAAGCGGTTCCCGTGCACGGAGGAGGAGGCGCGGCGCGGGCGGTGGACCGCGCTCGACGTCGAGGTGGTCGAGCTCGACTGGGAGGAGGAGGGTGTGCTGGCCGGCGAGTCGGCTCACGGGTCGGCTATGACTCGCCCCCTTGGACGCATCGCCTGCTGCTTGTCGTGTGGTAGGCGAGTGGACCTGGCCGTCCTCCGTGCTAGGAGGTGTGCAGCACTGACTGACTTGTGGTCGTGTGGTAGGCGAGTGGGACCTGATCGTCGGTTGCGAGGTGCTCTACCTCCGCGAGTTTTACGAGGCGCTCGTGTCTGTCCTGGAGCGGCACTCACGCCCGTCCACGCGTGTGCTCATCTGCTGGCAGGAGCGGAGCAGCGAGCTCGCCCCCTTCAAACGCAATCCAGAGTGAATCATGGAGGGTCACTTGGTAGGAGCGGACGCAAGAAGGCCGCCACCGGCAGCCAGAGTTCCTCGAGCTCGCTGCCGCCGCCGGCCTCTCGCACGAGCGCCACACCACCCTCCGCACCGGCGCCGGCGCCGCGGTGCACGTGCTGCAGCTGCGGCGCCAGACCGCAGTCCCGACTCTGCCCGCCACGCTGCTGCCAGCCAGCCCGCCCTCGCCGCCGCCCTCGCCGCCGCCCTCGCCGCCGCCCTCGCCGCCTCCGATGCCGCCGCCGCCGCCGCCGCTCCTGGCCTTGGGCGGCGCGGACAGCGACAGCGACGATCCGGAGGGAGGGCGGCCACCGGCGGTGTCGCTGGGTTGCGGGGGAAGCCCCGCGGGTGGGTCGGCCGACGGCGGACACGAGCCGCTCCTCCTCTCGCAGACCGGCAGCTCCAGCCTGCACGCCATCGCACAACGGACGTGACCGGGACGCGTCCCCGACATGTGCATGCACATGTGCTCCCTAGGCACCTTTAGCGTGCACGACTTTCGACTCAACGCGCGCGGAGGAGACTTCAGGCTGAGCGAGCCCGCTGCTGCCGAGGGCGCGGGCGCGGCCGGCGCGGCGTCGGCCGGCGCGGCGTCGGGCGGCGTCGAGATCGAGAGCGTGGCCGACATCGAGACGCTCGACGAGCTCGGCCATGGCGCTAGCGGCGCCGTCTGCCGCGCGCAGCACCGCGGTGGCAAGGACAGCGCGCCACAGGGTCAGCGGCTGTGAGTAGGGACTGTCTTCCGCGCGCGGCACCGCACCACGGGCGCGGTCTTTGCGCTCAAGCAGGCGACCTCCCCACCGAGGTCCCCTCTCTCCCCCCGGATCTCCCCCACATCTCCGCGCTCAAGCAGGTGACTGTCTTCGAGCCTGCCAAGCGGCTGCAGGCGGTCTCGGAGCTGCGAATCATGCGCAAGCACCGCTGCCCGTGGCTGGTCGCCTTGTACAACGCCTTCTACGAGGAGGCGCGCGTGTACGCGGCGGTGGAGCTCATGGACGCCGAGAAGGTTCCTAGAAGGTTCCTACACGTTCCTAGGCGCGCGTGTACGCGGCGATGGAGCTCATGGATGCCGGCTCGCTCGCCGAGCTGGTCGAGCAGCACCGCGAGGCGGGCGGGCTTCGCGACGAGGCGGAGCTGCGGCGCGTGGCTGAGCAGATGCTGCGCGGTCTCGCCTACGTTGGTGATTAATTTTAATCATTAATTAGGCGCGTGGCTGAGCAGATGCTGCGCGGGCTCGCCTACCTGCACGAGCAGCGGCAGGTGCACCTCGAGCCATCTCTCGGCTGGACCTCGGCTGTCGCTCGGCTGGCTCTCGGCCGTCTCTCTGCGTACCTCGGCTATACCTCGTCTGTCTCTCGGCCGTCTCTCTGCGTACCTCGGCTATACCTCGTCTGTCTCTCGGCCGTCTCTCTGCGTACCTCGGCTATACCTCGTCTGTCTCTCGGCCGTCTCTCTGCGTACCTCGGCTATACCTCGTCTGTCTCTCGGCCGTCTCTCTGCGTACCTCGGCTATACCTCGTCTGTCTCTCGGCAGGTGCACCGCGACCTCAAGCCGGCAAACGTGCTGCTCAACTCGCAGGGCGCCGTCAAGATCTCCGACTTTGGGATCTCGTCGCAGCTCGAGGCGACGGGCGAGGGGATTTGCTCGACGTCGGTCGGCACTTTCGCGGAACGTTCTCGGAATGCCCCTCCCAGGCGACGGGCGAGCTCTGCTCGACGTTTGTCGGCACCACCTGCTACATGTCGCCCGAGCGTCTGCGCGCAGAGGCCTACTCGTACAGCTCCGACATCTGGTCCTTCGGCCTCATCCTCCTCGAGCTCGCCAGCGGCGCCTACCCGTACTCCACCTCCGGAGGCGAGACTCGCCGAGATTTGCCGAGATTCGCCGATACCAGCGCCTTGCTCACCCCCCCCCCCCGTACTCTACCTCCGGAGGCGCATTCTACCAGCTGCTCGGCCAGATTGCGGACGAGCCCGCGCCGACGCTGCCCGCCGGGCACTTCTCCGCCTCGCTGCGGGACCTGCTCCGCCGCTGCCTCGACAAGGACCCGACGCGGCGCCCGACGGCGCAGGAGCTGCTGAGCGACGCGTGGCTGGCGAGCGGGAGCCACTCCCATGCATGACGAGCATGACGCACGCCGAGAAGTGCAACCGTGAGGACCACGGAATGGGGTCGCGAGTCCGCGAGGTCGAAGCACTCGAGGCACTCTCAGCACGACGGAAGAGGACAGAGGAGAGGACACATGCGTACCCCGTGATGGCTGATGCGAGATTCGAGACGCTCGGACCCACAGGTGGCACAGCCGTTGGGCGCTGCACAGCGCTCAGCCGCTCAGCGCTCACCGTACACCGAAACGGCAAGGCTCAAAGGCAACGCGGGGCCAGAGGCAGAGCGCGCGCGCGGCCGGCCGGCGGGCGGCGCGCAGTTGCCAGTTCGCCTTTTCTTTGTGGTCGGTACGGGTCATTGTACGGTACACGCGCGCACAGAGACGCACGCAGCGCACAGAGACATGTGCATGTGCATGTGCATGTGCATGTTGTTGTGTGGCACACAACGAGCTACGCGGCAAACCACTCGCCGCGCGTGCGCTCCTCTGAGCCGTAAACGGTATCGGAGACTCTAGAGCGTCGCCGCTCACACGCCGGCTACTACCTCTTCAAGCCTCGCCGCCAGCGTGTCGAGATCTACACCAGCCACGTCCTCGATCTCAGCTTCCGTCATCCAGTCGCGCAGCACGTCGGGAGTGCTGGCCTCTGGCAGCGTGGCCGCAGCTCCCTTCTGCCCCACCTCGCGCGGCTTGAGAAACGCCGACTCGTCCTCGCGTGGCCGCTTGCGGTCGATCGGTGTCGGCCTCTTCGCTATCGGGCGCCGCGTTGGCGAGGCAGCGGCCAGCGCACACGGCGGTGGCCGCCTCCTCTCGCCGATGGCTCCCTCATCAGCCCACCGCCGCCGGGCAGCCGCCGCACCTGTTCTCGCCTGGAGAAGATCTGCGAGGCTATTGCCGCCGCGGGGCAGCGCAGGAGTCGGCGGCATTTGTCGGACAGCGTCTCCAAGCAGAGAGAGAAGGTCCACCCACCTGCCGCAGTGATCAAACAGCAAAAAAGAATTTTAGCCTTCCACTGGGCACGCGACTGGCTCGCACTGGCACTAACACAAAAATTTTAATGCGGCTCCACATACCACATACACAAACTGGTGGGGGCGACCCTCGCATCTCCACGCCCGGGACACGGGCAGGAGCCTCTTCACGGCATTCAAACTTTCAAAGAGCAACCTGCACCCCACTCCCTCCCTCCCGGACCAGAAGCAATCAAAGCCCTTGTGAAAAGGAAAGGACACGACGAAGGACAAGGGTAGGCGCGAAAAAGAAACACACAGGGCAGCCCTAGCCAGGCCCAGTGTGACTGGGGAACGCTGCGACATGTGCTGGACGCGCGGCCCACTGCCCGACGCGCTTCACAACCTCTTTGAATCTATCCCTCACATAAATCTATCTGCGCACCTTACTTTGAAGTCTCCCCCCAGGGGACCGTGGCGACAAAGGATGGTCGCTCCGGACACTGGCTCGCCAACGAGCACGGGGGGAGATTGATGCCGCATGCCACGATCGATTTGTCACGGGAGTCGGAGGGCGTCGATTCAGCAGTAGTCTGGCTTCTCGACGCATTTGTTGGCGCCTTTGTTGCAGCACGCGCCACTCTCGCACCACTTTGGGGATGGTAGCTTGCCGCACGACTTGCCGATGGCCTTGCCCCCCCCCCCTCGGCAGTCGTAATTGGAAGGGCAAGACGGCGGCGGCGGCGACGGCGACGGCGGCGGCGGCGGCGGCGGCGGCGGCGGCGGCGGCGGCGGCGACGGCGGCGACGGCGGCGACAGCAGCGGCGACGGCGGCGACGGCGGCGAGGCTGGGGGGGTACCGTCCTCACGCTTGTAGCATTTCAGATGGGTTGACTCGGTCCATGGTGTGAAGCCAGAACCTTTGTATATGTTGCAGCCACGACCGTCAGTATCCCATGCATATCCCTTGCATCCGTCGAGATTGTCACACTCGGATTCGCAATCTGCCTTGCTGTATGTGTTGGCAGGCGCCAAGGCGGTATTATACACTGCTTTTGATTCACGGTCACTGTATCCGCATCCTTTTTTTTTGCATTCGACGCAGCCATTGTTTGCGCATTCCTTGGCACATCGGCAGTTTGATTCGGGCCAATATCCACCACCGCCATAAGAATACCAATATCCATCTCCGTGGGCCCACGAGTGTTTGCAGCGGTTGGTTGCAACACGAGAGGGGTGGTTGCAAGCTTCGCAGGGCGAGGACCACCTCCTGCAGCTCTACTCGATGCCACCGATACCGGCGGCTCCTGCAGACCCTCACCGGGGCAGCAGACGCCCGCTCGCGCCGCCCACGGACTCCTCTGGAGAGTCCGGCGCCGGGCGGCCGACGGTCCTTCCCTCGGATCTGGAGCAGATGAAGGTAGTCGATCTGAAGGACCTGCTGCGCCTGCGCGGTCTCACAGCATACAGGCTCGACACTGGTGCGAACTGGCGCGTGCTAGCACTATCAAAAAAAAGAATTTTGAAAGAAGGTCCACCCACCTGCCGCGGCAGGGTTCCAACTTTTTCCGGGGTATGGTATGGTAGCCTCGCGGCCCAAAGGGTGGGGGGGTATGGTCCTGACCGCCCATCCCCGGTCTCCGGGAGGCTGGGTCTGTCAGCAGGCGGGGGGGGTATGGTCTCGAGGTGGGTTGCGCGAGAGTACCATACCATACCCCGCAAAAAGTCCGAACCCAGTGATCAAGCAGCAAAAAGCAAAAAAGAATGCTGTGCGGTTATACACAAACTGGTGGGGGCGACCTTTGAACGTGTGGGCGGCAGCTGTCTGTTTACAGGCGCTGGCCGCCCGCGCGCGCGCCGGACCGGCTCCGGCACGTCCGGCGCTGGGCGGCGCGCGTCCACACT